CGGGCGGGGTTGCGGTGGCGGGGTTGCGGTGCGGGGGCGATGCGGGGGCGGGGTTGCGGGGCCGGTGGCGGGCCTGCGGGGTTAGGCGGCGGGGTACCCGGGGCTGGGCGGCGGCGGGGGTCGTCCGGCGGTGGCGGGGTTGGATGAACCCCGCGGCGGGGGTCCGGGGTCCGCAGCCTAACACCGGCTTTGCCCCCGGGGTTCCCCGCTCGACAACGCTGCTTATGGTAGACGACTTCATTCCCGAAACTCCAAGTTAGTTTGTGCTTTCCTCAAGATAAATCACCTCTTCTTCGATTCTATGACAGCTAGCTCGTTCGCACTCTGCCTGAGGACTGCTGTCTTTCCTATCCTTCACCCCATTGTTGTGACTTCGTGTGCATTTCGAACACCCATCTCTTACGTCCTTTTCGTCCTCCATTTCGTTAAGTCCGAGTTAGTTCGCACTTCGCTTCTGTAGTGGTTTGAGGTTGGGCGTGTTAGTCATCCGAGTTGGTCTGAGGTTGGGCGTGTTAGTCAATGGGTGGGAGTACAATGGCGTCCGCAAAAAACACATCCACAAGTGCTGGACCATCTGCCCCCGGGGAGCGACGACCTCTTCAGCAATCTATTCCTCACTATATGCACGCAATGGGAGCACAATGGTTTTTGGACTTCGTTGTTCAGGGGGACCTTTTTGGGCTAGCTGTTTTCATGCGACCTGCTTGCGTTCCAAACGCTGGGGGAGCGGTCAATGTTCTTCCTCTCAGTACCACCGTCTCGTGCGCCAAGACTTCTGGAGTTTTGCTAAAGTTGGAAACTAACGGCTTCTACGACGAGTGCAGACTGCCTCTCAAAGGTGTTAAGGGTGTGCTGGTGACCATCAAGAGTTTCGCGGGGTACGGCTTGAACATGACGTTGTGCTCTCACTTCAAAGGCCTTTACGATGGCGGCAGCAAGCATCTTCCATCGCCAAAGCAATATCTTGATCTCGCAATGATGGTGCCGAAAGAACGTTCGGTTCTTCCGCGAGATCATGTTTTTAGGCTTCTGCCACCCCATGAGTAGTCGTCCGACTTGGCTCAAAAAACTCCAGGGACGGCAGTGGGGCGCGGTAGTGCGATTCAGGACGCTGGGGGTCGGGTCAAGGGGCTCGCGCGCAGCGTTCGCACGCAGGTCAGCCCGAATGCTCCGGGGAACACGTCGGACTTGCATTCTCGGGGTACAAGGACTCAACGGGTCGGTACTCCGAAACTCCTCAAGGTCAACTGCGCCGGCGACACGTATTCACTTCGAGATGAGACGAGAAGAGAATCCGGCAGATCAGGGCAAGATGTCGGAGGGAATGAGGCTGAAGGAATGGGCGGGATTGGAGGTGACGTTGGATGGTGCGAGAGGAGGTGGCGGAGGGAACCCTCCGCATGAAGAGGATGAGAGGGAAATCGGAGGTGGTGATGGGCGGGGTTGGAGGTGACGTTGGAGGACGTGCCTAGGGAAAGAGGACGTCGAAGGAAGAGGGTGAGACGGCAAATAGGAAAGCGAGGAGGCCCGACGGTTTGACCATCCGTGAAGGACAAGCCATGGGTACAGGAGATTCGGCTAATCCAGACGTTGCAGCAGCGAGAGAACCTTCGGGGAAATCGAAACCGAAGTGGCAGCTAAAAGCGCGATGGCGAGAAGAAACCTCGAAGGCGGAAGACTGCTGAGGCGGTGAGCGGTGGCGAAGGGCCAGTCGGTGAGGAGTGCGACGAAGCGGCAGCGTTCTGGCTTGAATACGAGCGGAACGATGTCGGTGAAATCGTGGAGAAAGAGTTCCCCGTCCAACTGCTCATCGACCCCAGGAAGGTCTGTGACATCCCGCCTTGGGAAAGATATTACAACCACCGCAGTCTAAGTCGAGAAACTGTGGACGACATCAAGAATGCGATGCTGATTCAATTCCGCGAGAAAAAAGGGAAGATCTGGATGAAAAACCCTCTGGTTTTGGCACCCATCTACAAGCCGGTGACGCGTAGGCCGGAGAAAGCTGACAGGGTTCACAAAGATGTCTTTAAGCCAGAGGACAAGGACGAGTACTACTACTACCCTGTTAACGGACAATACACCGTGGCTGCTGTGAAGGAGTTGGAGGGTGAGCCAATATTCGATTTGTGGAAGATGCACTCGTGGCCGGCGAGAGTAGTGTGGTTCTACGACCGAGATTTCGCGGGGTATAGGTAGGTCAGTCTCAACGAGAACACGAGACACAAGATGTCTAAGCAGCGATCGCAGAAGGCCGCATTCTTGGACATGCGGGAGGCATGGGAGAACGAAGGAAGGCCGATGGCCATTCAAGGGAACCCTTTCGGCAAGGAGAAAGAAAAACAAAAGTTTTTCGACTTCCGAAAGCTGATTTTGGGAAAAAGTCCGAACGAAACTCACTGGACGTTGGCAAAAAAAGATTTGTCGCTCGCCGACAAGGAATATGTCGCTGCCGTCGGCAATGCTTTAAGGCAGTGGATGCCGCTCGTGACGGCCGGTGATGACATTTTCCGCAAAGCAATGAAGTTCTACGTGAAATGGGCGGGGGGGAAGTTGTTGGGCGGCGACGGCTAGACACCATTGTCGAGGCCGGGCAAATACATGCCTGACAAATCTCCGGATCTGCAAGCAATTCCGGAAATGGGCTCGAAAGGGGCGGATGGTGAAACGAAGATGGGGTGGCTGGTCCGGGTGCCACCGCCTCCGACCAAAAAGAAAACGCAAGCGGACGACAAGTTTTTCGTGGTCGTGAAGGAGCCGGACATGTTCTGTTGGCAGTGTCTCGCCGACATGACTGATGCCGAGAAACTGTCGATCCTTGACGACATTCTCACGCTAAGGGGAGTGTTCGTGCAATCCGCGGATGGCCATCTGAAGCGTCAGCATAAACCAGGAATTAAAGACATGGTCGCGATGAGGAAAGTGGACCGTGTGATGCTCCGTATGTTCCACTACATCTTGTTCCTTGAAACGGAGGAGGACGAACGTGTTTGGCGCCACGGGAGCCCTTTTTTTCGGACCGAGGGGAAGCTTCTAGAGGAGTTCGGGCCGCAGGGCCTCACGAAACAGGTGTGGGTCGAAATGCGAAAGCATTTCCAGGGCGCGGTGGAGTACGTGAACACTTGCAAACGTACTCTTCCGCTCGAGAAGGAGTCCATCAACGACGCGAAGAGATTGTACGATGATGACAGGTTCCCTAAATCTTTCGAAAAGTCTGTCCGTTCCATCTTGCCACGGAATGAAGAAGAAGCTCGAGACACGATCAGGGTCAGTGGGGATGTGAGGCACATCAAATGGCCCGACCTCAACCGGGTGACCAGCCTTATTCCTTTCGCTTTCCCGCCTTCGCAAGCTCACAGTCATGTCACTGCGATCCCTGAGGTTGTGAGACATTACGTGTGCAACCTGTACGTCCTCGATTTGTGTGATCCCACACTCCTCACAGACTGGCGAGAAGACGATTTCGCGAACTTGCAAGGCGTTCTCCAAATACTTTCGCCAACGCACTGGGCACTTGTGGTCTTCTTCCCCTCTCGTTGGGAGCTCAATTTCTTGAAAGGCATGGCCAGGCTTAGCGTCCATCACGTCAGGACAGAGAAGTGGGTGCGCAATGCACAAAAGCAGGCTACTGTCCGGGAAGGCAATATGCTGGTTGAGGAGTGTGACTGCCTGTACGTGATTTTTAATGGCGAAAAGCTGGAGGACAATACATTCGCAGTCTACGCGGCCACTAGCCCAACAAAGGCTTCCCGTGCTTATGGTCCAAGTCCGGCCAAACACACGGTGGTGGCCCGCTCGAAAGCTGTGTGTTTGTCGGACCCGTCAGGACAGGCTGTGGCGTGTTTCGAAGTGGCAGAAGAGGGAAGGTTCTCTCGCAGCATGTGGGAGAACGGCGGCGTGACAAGTTCTCAAGGACCTGCTTACGGGGAGATGGAGCGGAACCCGTCCCGTCTACTTGGTCTACTCGAAAACTTTTGCAAAGCTGGGCAAGCTGTTTTTTTCTTTGGGAAGGCGCATGCGTCTGTCGTGTGGGAACTCCTGCGCTTCGGTCGGAACGTCGTCGCGTTGGAGGACAAGGCGAACATAATCGATTACCTTCACGAGTTCGTGAAGACTCGCGTTGCAGACACTTGCAATGCTTGCGAGTTTGTCCATATCACCGGCGAACGAAACTGGGATCCCAAACGTGACATGTATTGGAAAATGTCGGGGAACAAAAGGACGGAAGTTTGGGACTTCCTTTTCCAACCCGGACCGCCTGGTCTGACCGACCTCGAATACAGTCGACGGAGAAACCTGGTGTTCGGTGTGCTCAATGGGTACCACGATGCACCCAGGGAGTCTGTCTCGCATTTCCTGAGAAGGCTGGAGCACGTTTACTTCACGCTGGCGAAACCCCTCACCCTGGAAAACTACAAGTCACAGTTTGACGAGGAGGACCCTTTCGACGCTGAAGACATCGAGGAGCTGAGCGACTCGGAAACCTTCGATTTCGAGTCCATGCCACTTCCTCGGGTGGTTGGACTGGTTGGTGATGAAGAGGAAGGTGGCCCTCAAAGATATAGCACATCCCCTGCCGGCTTGAAGCGTGTGCTTCGGGGCAAACCAGTCGACGACCAATCGTCTGATGATGGGGAGGAAGACAGAGACTATGATCACGAACCTTATGACAGGCTCCCAGCGGACCACGATACCTGGCAGAATGACAGACTCTACTTCTTCGACAAGCATCACCGGTTCGCGGCGGAGGATGTCTGGGGACACAACGTCGTCTGGCACCCGAGGTTATTCCAACCTGCTGTGAGGAATGGAATGTGGGTCATGGCAATGAAGGAGGCCGATGGCAAGTGGAGTGGACTGAAGAGACTGGGAGCGGGTGCATTTAAGAGAACGGCCAGAACTGCTCTGGTGGAGCATTTGAGTCTCATGAACCCCGAGAGGAACGATCCGGACGTTGCTACGTACACAGAACAAAAGCTAAATGAGTTGTACGCAAAAAACATGTTGGAGTTTCGAGCGCCTTTCTACACACTCGAAACGACACCGTCTCATGGCATTGACTGGCTCATGCCATAACCTCCGTCAAGCGGTCAGCATCCGGGAGGGGGTGGAGGAGGAGACGAAGGAGACGGCGGAGGTGGCAGAGGAGACGGCTCACAATTTGCCAGAAAGGGGACGGGCGAGACATCGTCGGTAGAGAAGGCGTCCGGCGGAAAGGGGTAAGGTGGAAAGGACACGGGCGGAAAGGGGTCGGGCGGGAAGGGGTCGGGCGGGAAGGGGTCGGGCGAAAAGCGTAGAATGTCCGGGAGTCCCCCGTATATGGAAACTAACCCTCACTGCGTAGGGAGTCGAGATTCCGACATGCGAGACAAGGCCACCCTGACGTCTGATCAAGTGCGAGTAGATTCGCACTTGTCTGCGAGGACTTTGTTTCCCGTTGCCGAGGACAGTCTATCCCACCGTGCGCAGCAGAGGTCTCCTGTGCTCAACACTTTGCTCCTGAAAGAGGGTGCGTCTTCGTTTTGCCAGGTGGGCGGGATGCCTGCATTGCGAAGGAGCGAAGGTGCGACCTTCGGTTCCTTCCGCTCGGGCGACCGCCACAAACTCCGAATACATTCGAATTTGCTGACGTCGCCCTCCGCCATAAGTGCTCCTCACGCAACAGTTTCGCGGGGCCTAGAAAATATCACGTCCTGCCCCCCGCATCTTCAGTTGGACACAGGGTTGCCCTGCTCGCCTCCGTTCTCATGTGTTGAGAATCTAGACTGGCGGTCTCGCGACGTGCTGGAGGGGCCCCCTGTAGGAGTGTTGGAGACCGGGGGTGGCGAGCATGAACGTCACACTCCTGGGGAAGAGGAGCGCTCTCCGGGAACCCGTGCTGTACATCGGGAAGAGGAGACTCAACGCTGGCAGTCTTGCAAAGTGTTGGAGACCGGGGGTAGCGAGTGTGAACGTCATGCTTCGGAGGGTGCGTTCGTGGACACTGGCAGCGAGAGTGCAGGAGCTCTGGGGGAAACGCATGCTCTACAGCAGGGAGAGGATACTCGACACGGGCCGGCTCGTGAAGACGTGAAGTGGCTCAACGCACGAGCGCTGGTGATCGGGACATCCGAAGAGGTTCTGCATAGTCGTTCGGTTGTGGCCACGACGCGAGAGGGTGTCGTTAAGGGAGTTCAGTCGACGTCCGTGCAAGCTCCCGTTCTAGGCGACGATGAAGATGAAGAAGAACCCGCGATTGAAGCTCGGGTTCATGGCGATGAGGAAGGCGGAGAACCCGTGGTGGAAGGCGGTGAGGTGACTGTCGACATCCGGACAGATCCACAGCGGAAAGATGGTGATTGTTCGCCCACCGGTTGCGGTGAAGGACAGGGTGGTCCACCGTCTGTCCTAAGCACCGCTCGCGGAATGGCGCTTCATGAAGCCATAGAGTTGGGTGACAACTCGGCAGCCACCGAGCTGGTTAGCGACTCAGACGTGGCCGAGATGCAGAACGTCGAATCCTCCGTGGAAGGCGGTGAGGTGGTCGTCAGCATCAAGATTGATCTAGAGCGGAAAAATCATGATTCTCCGTTTACCCGTTGCGGTGCCGAACAAGGTGATCGAGCATCTGTCCTCAGTACCGGTCGGGAAATGGTGCTTCATGAACCCATCGACTTGCCAAGCGACTCAGCTGCCACCGAGCTTGTTAGCGACACAGTCGTGGCCGAGGTGCAGAACCTCAAATCGTCCGTGGACGTTGGCGCAGTGGCGCGATAGGAGGGCGAGTTCCCTCAAAGGGCTCCCGAGCACGGTAAGATTTGTGAATAGGACCACTCGCATATATGTCACTGACCAGCTCTGTGTTCGTCCAAATTCATGTCATGGGCTAATGTACCTATTACCACTTGATAGAAAAAAACTTTTGGGTTGTGGGTTGTTTTTTAGTTCTACAGGTGTGAGGTTGTTAATGTCCCTGTCCATGAATCCTTAAAAAGCCGTGTGCAAGAAACGTCTTTCAGGGAGGTCATTGGCCGCTTTACCGAAGAAGTCGTCAAGTGTAGGGGTGTTTAAAAAGGTCAAGATGCCTCGCCTTTCCCAGAGAGCTATCAGGGTTCTGAAGGCTTGTGGAATAGATAAAGAGGAAGGTCTGCGGAAACATTTGGCTGCGTCTTTTGAGAGCGTTACTGCTTTGTCTGATGGTCTGATGACGATGGCAAACGGGGTGTCTTGAAAGACCCGTGTCTTAAGTACATGGCGAAGGACAAATTCAACAGTCGGGGATACAACGTTTCAGGGAAAAGGGCAAACAGTTCTTAGCCATTCCGCTCCGGGGTTTGTGCTCACTCCTCACACTTGTTCGTGGGTGTTTGTGCAGCTGGAGCTACATCATGTTTTCGCGTTCCGTTGCCTACTGAGGAGCTTAGCGCTACAGACTTGAGAATGTTGCAGAACGTCTGTGGAGATTACAGCAACGGCCAAGAGGTGGTGTCCTCGGTTCACAAAGGGGTCAGTTCAATTCCGTTGAGCAGAAAAAGTCTTCAAACTCTTGTTCAAGGGGAATGGCTTTCCGACGAGGTGGTGGAGTTGTACTTGGCCTTGCTTGCCAATGTTGCATTGCCAGGGTGTCCCTCTCTTTACATTTTCAGTCTCTTTTTCTACACCAAGCTCGTCCGTGGCGGCTATCGACATGATAGGGTTGCGAGATGGACAAAAGATGTGGATATTTTCTCGTAAGAAATGGTCTTGATTCTTGTCCATAAACATGAAGTGCATTGGACCCTATTGTGTCTCCGAGAACAACGGCTGGAGTACTACGACTCCCTTGTACAAGACGATGGCGGTTTTTCTTCCGATGTGATTGCGAACTTCACGCAATACCTCTGTGACGAAGCAGTTTGTCATTATGGTCCAAAAACAATTGTGGATCTCCAGGAGCCCAAGGTGGTTGTTCGTGGTGTCCCTCAATAATCGGACAGGTCGAGCTGCAGTGTTTTCATGCTCGTCTTCGCTTCATTTCTTGCACGCGGCTGTCCACCACCATTTCCGATAGCCAAAAGCGACATTTCAAACATCCGGCTAAGGATTGCGGTGGACATACTCCAAGGCGCTGAATGATACCACTGTTGTTAAAATACTCGTAGTTTTTTTTTCGAAATGCCATAAGCAGAAGTGCGAATTTATTCCCACTTCATCTACTCGTCGGCCGGTTCGAGTTGTGTTGTTGTTTGAATGAGATACCGGATTGCAGTGGACGTTTTGGTCAAGTAAACGCTTAGGTGTCGATGTGAATATCCCAGCCTCGTGTTGTAGCAATTTTTTAAAGGTTCTTCATTTCGAGGAACCTGTCATCTTTACTCGTACGCCTTTCGGCAGCACCGTACTGCCTTTGTTTGTTTTCGAGTTGTTCTTATTGCTTGCCTTGCAACATCAGCTAGAAGGTTGCAGCGGACGCTTACGTGAAGTACAATCTTAGATGCCGATGTAAATATCTCAACCATGTGGTGCAGTATCTTTTAAGTAGACGCTTAGATATGGGATGTGAATATCCCGACTTTCAGACTGCGGCAGCGCCGTGCTGTGTTTGTCGCGCCGTGTTGCGTTTGTTCGTTTCGAGGTTGTGCTGCTCTGTTACTCATGGGACGTCTTCGTCCTCTTGTAAACATTTTGCACTCATGCTCTTACTGAAAGATATAGACGATTTTTTCTTCGTCGCCAAATTGTTTCGTGCTTATCTCTTTCGTTCGCGAGACTTTGTGGTGTGAAAGCCCCTCTCCCCGCCACACCACGACCACCCAGCTTTCATATGTTTTGGGTCACCCTTGTTCAGCGTGTGCTGCCTCGTTTTACGGTTCACCCCCTTTGCTCGTCTCCATTGAATGTTGTCTGTTGGTTCCTTATGGCAATTGAGAACTTGTTCTCCATTCAGAAACCAATTGTCGCCAGAATGTATGTGTGCTTGAAGTTGTTTTACGAATTCAGCGGTGCACTAAATGATTACCAATTCGGTTATCCCCGGAATACATCTCGTGCTCTCCACGGAATGCTGGTTGTTGTTTCTGTATGAGAAATGCGAACATATTTGCACTTTGGATGTCGTACATTTGTAATTGAAGTATTGATTCCATATGAGAAATGAGAACGTATTCGCATTTTGGCTCCATGTACTTTGTGATTTTTGGAAAGTCTCCGTGCACTTTGCAATGTGGGATTGTATGATATTTTGCGTTCAATGATTTTTTGAAACGTCTTTGTGTGCTTTGCAATTTGCCCTTGAATGAATTTTCTGCATTGAATGGTTTCTGGAAACTGTTCGTGTGCTGTGAGACTTCACCTTTGGAAAAACACTAGGCAACTTGAGATGTTTTCAACATGATGTTTGCGATGTCTCTGTGTGCTTTGCAATTTGACTTGAGATGGTTTCATCTCGATGTTTGCGATGACAAGAGATACTTGTGTGAATCGATATCAATCTTCTACACAGAAAGATTTGATGACGTTTTCAACCTGTAATATACAAATGACAAACCAATGTCCATATTAAATCGTCGCGCTGATGGACTGCGCAACTGCTTCTCCATCAAAGTGCGAGTTCAATCGCACTTCTGGTGTGAGCCCTGAGCAATTCCCTCGCACTTTGCTTCCCGTCGAGGAGGGGATCAAACGCACCGCTGGTAAGCACCTGCACATCACGAAACAAGAGCACGTCCCAATTGGAACATCGTCGGGTTCTTGCGATGTCGACTCCTACATGATGACTACACTGAACAGCGGAAGGATGACCGCTCCGCCTCTCCGATGTGGATCTAACGGTGGATTGCAACAAATCTGCTCTCATAGATCCACGCCGGGGATGGGGGACGGGATCCGACCACAGTTTCCTTGTGAGGCATCATATGATGTGTCGATATAACTGACATCCAAAAATGCTTGGTGAGCATCTAGTGCTACGCCAATAAAATCCAAACACGGCAGCAAGGCCCCCTTAGAGTGTTCTTTGCCGGGTCCTCACCTCATCGACTCTCAAGAGGACTGCAGCCAACAGCGGTAGGATGGCAGGTCCGCCTATCCGATGTGGATTTCACGGTGGAGTGCGAAACTCTGCCCTCGAAGATCCACACCGGGTAGAAGATCCTGCAAGCAGCAGTTGCTTGCTTGTAAGGCATCTTATGATTTGTTAATATGACCGACATCCAGAACTGCTTAGTGAGCATCTAGTGCTACGCCAATGTGTTCCAAACACGGCAACAAAGTCCCCTAACAGTGTTCTTTGTCGGGTCCTCACCTCAACGACTCCCTCAAGATGACTAGAAGTGACAGTTCTAGGATGGCAGGTCCACCTATCCGATGTGGATCTCACGGTGGAGTGCGAAACTCTGATCTCAAAGATCCATACCGGGTAGAAGGTCCTGCAAGCATCCGCTGCTTGCTTGTAAGGCATCTTATGATGTGTGGATATAACCGACATTCAGAACTCCTTGGTGAGCATCTAGTGCTACGCCAATATGTTCTGAACACGACCGCAAGGTCCCCTAAGAATGCTTTTAGCACTGGAGTCCTCTGACTGCCGACTGTTTGGCACTTCGTGAAGGTTGACACTTCTTGAGGGTCGTCTGCCACTTCTTAAAGGTGGTCAGTCACCAAACAGATCACGACCTGACATCAACCTCGATAACTGCGAATTGATTCGCTGTTCAACTAGAGTCTCTCTCTCTCTCTCTCTCTCTCTCTCTCTCTCTCTCTCTCTCTCTCTCTCTCTCTCTCTCTCTCCCCCCCCCTGTGTTTCTGCCTCCGCTCGCCACCGTCCCTAAGAACATCTCATATAATGTCTAATGCCCGAAACTTTTTTCTAAAACGGGTCGACAACGGGTGTGTCATGGGTGATCGAATCCAACTGCAATCTCATATAGTGTGGTCCGGCTAGCGAACCGGCACGCGGACCTGCGAAGGTGGGGGGGGGGAGGGGGGGGGGCTGAAGTACGTATCCCGCTCTCTACGAACCAGTGCTTACCCCGTGCACGAGACCGGCACCGGTCACCAACCCGTGACCGGCCGGTCACTGGGCCTAAATCCCCTGAACGGCCGTTCACGGGGTTTACGCCCGCGGGGGCGGCGGTTCGGTCGGGATGAGGGCGGGAGGGGGGTGGTGCGGGGCCCTTCTACACCCCCGTACCTT